CGACTCATGGCAGCCCAGCTCCAGGTTGAGCTGTTGTTCAGCATCTTAGCTGTGGAGGGCAGTGTCACTGGCCTTCATATGTGGGATCCGAACCGGGGCCCTCTGGCATCCCAAGCGAGTTCTTAACCATCGCACCACTCGGCCGGCCCTCTGTACTTCTTTATTGTTGGAATTTTTTATGTCAGGGAATAGAAATCAGATCTTCAGGAATTGTAATTATAGTCAGCATGTGTATTAATGAAAATCTGGAAAAAGTTTCACACAATTTATTCTTGTTAAATGTAACGCTTCTCCCCAATTAAAAACCCACCTATTCTGGATTTTTGGCTGATAATGGCTAATACCTTCTTTCTCAAAAGTGTGATTCTAGGCCTAGCATTGTAAGTATCACCTGGGAACTTGTAAAAAATGCGGACTCCTGGGCTCTAACCCAGAGCTACTGGACCAGGATCTGCAGCTTCACAAGGTCCTCAGTGCCTCGTGTATGGATCACATTTAAGAAGCACAGCGCAGTGTCTCTGAGGACCTTGGTGACCGATCTGCTGCTTCTCTTCTCTGAAACCTAGTGATATGCTGACAGTGCAGTGGACACTGGAAAAGGGGACTCAGAGCAGGCTCCCAGCTGCTGGGCTGCGGGCACAAATTTACTCTGAAGCTGTTCTAGAAGTAGTGTTCTCTTGCTTTCTCTTGAAACCCGCTGTCCAGTTTCCAATTCAGCGGTCTTGGATGGGCCTAAAAAACTGGTTTTGTTTTTAAAAAAAAAAAAAAGCATATTAGGTGATTCTAATACAGAGCACATTTCGGAATCACTGTATATACTCGTAGATCATTCTACCTATGGATATACCCCTCTGGACTATAGCTCACACCCTAAAACAGTCAAACAAAAAACGACATCCTTATTGGATATCAAGAATGAGTTTATTCTCTTATCCCTGTATAGGTGAATGAATGATTTGAGTGGGAGGAGATACAGGCTGGGTTAGGTCGGAATGATGTAACGATGGTTGATGCTGTCTGGGACTGCATATTATTTCATAGGTATTAACTTAGTCACATGAAAATGAAGTTTCTGGGGGTACTCCTCTACAAATTCATTGTACTGTAATTTTCTGAATGGGATGAAGCATTAATACACAGTTTCCCTCTTTCTGGTAGGAAGTTTATAACTAAAAAGATAGCGGTGCGATTTCCGTTTTAGCACTGATCTTATTATTGACCTGAAGTGACACTGAATGTAGAAATAGAACTTTAAACCCTTTGACACTGAACTCTGTTAGATGGGGTCATTAGATTTAAGACTTAGATTATGTTGAACAACAAAATGAGCTTAATGTGGACATTTTAAACCTATTAGATGTGTACAGTATTGTGTTGATTATTTTATAGCCTTGTAATTTCATACACTTGGCAGTATTGGCTGTGTTTTTTCCTAGTTTATCATAACTTGTATTAAAAGTAACTTGAAATGTCACAGCTCTTTCCAATGATAAATAACATCAGTTTCATTTTCCACAGGCTCAAAGTCTAACTCCCGAGGACTACAATCTGAGGTGGTCAGGCCTTTTGGTGACAGTGGGCGAAGTCCTGGAAAAGAGTTTACCAAATGTCAGCAGGACTGATTGGCACTTGACTTTCACAGGCATGTCGCGTCGACAGATGATATACAGTGCAGCCAAAGCAATAGCGGGCATGTATAAACTGCGCCTGCCGCCCAGGACCATGTGAGAGGACACTTACCTAGGGGACTGAGCCGTCCTCACCTCAAGCCTGGTAGGAAAGCAGAGATCGTCCCTTCTGAACCTGGACAGCTTCAGTGATCTAGCAGTTTCCATAATTTTCCTGTAGGCTAGAAAGGCATGGGGTCGTGCCAGCTGATGAGAAGAAACAGACCCTTTTTGTCATGCCTGTGTAATTTCATGTACCATAGTTCTCCAAAAAGAAAATATATAAATATTTTTATAAGACAATTTGATATACCAAATTCATACTGTGCAAATTCATATGCTGAGACATTTAACTTAATGATGTGTACATTATTTTGTTTTTTATGAAGACAGTTAATTGAAGAACACGTTTATTGGATATTCTTTAAAAGCATTGTTTCTTTTAACTCATGATTAACCTCTTCCTGTCTGAGGCTTCTGTGTGTGCATGTGATCGCAGGCCTGATGCTGAACACTGCGCTCAGCGGGTTAGCCTGACGCCAACTTGTGCACATTTGTGTGCACATTTTTAACATGGGCCGAAATAACAGAATTGATCGCTTTTGTTTTGGTTATGTACACACACAGTCTGAATAATTCTACTTTTTTCTTTTTTTAAAAAGTTTTGGCATTTTATAGATTTATGCTTTGAACACTAGGGTAACGCATTTTATTTTCTCATTGCTCTATGACAACTAAGTAGCAGATGATTCAAGCATATTTTAAATCAGAAACATTTGGGTCAATTTTGAATAATGCTATTCAGTACTTCCCACTAAACTGACAATAGCCATTATTTCTGCTTCCACTTCTGTTTTCCCACTGTAATGGAGAAATTTTTGAGAGGAAATTACTTTGTTGTTTATGGGATTGTATGCCTATTTTCATTAAGGTTATTCTTACTAAGTTTGCCTTAAACACTGCTTTTCTAACTGCCATTCTGCCTTTACTTTTTATGGAAGTTTTCAAAGAAACTCTTTTTGTATTCAATCTGGTTTACTTTGTCCATTATGTTGGTATTTAGTGAAAACTTCTGTTTCTTCCAAATAATATATTTTACCATTTGGGGATTTAAATAAATCAAAATTAAATAGTTTGTCTTACACTTTTGAACTTGATGTATGCAAGTTCAGGTAATTTTTCAAAGATAGTTTCGTATATAAATGCAATTTAATTTTTATTTACTCTTCTGTGCAGTTCTGCAAATGTAAAAGAATAAGCACAATCTTATAAAGGGTGTTGAGGCTCTTATCCTGTGCTGTCATTACATATAATGTTTGCTTTGTATTATTTCAAATACTTATTTGATTCTTGCTGTTTTTTACCCGGGGATGAGATGAGTAAGTATTAAATTTTGCAGCTATGGTGTATGTTAATTTCCAAGCACTGTATAATGATTGTTCAGTGAAATTCAGACTTCTGTGTCATTAAAAGTAATGAGAGAGAAATGTAACCAGTTGTTGTGGCGTAACAGGGACAGAATACTTCTTCCCCTCTTCATTGGTGTTTATAGAACAGTTCGTCTGTGTGTGCTCCATCTTTAAAGAAAAAGAAAAGCCTCTCTCTCCTGTTTGCGTTTATCCTTTATTTTCAAAAGCTACCCTTTTCTAACAGGATTTTATCATGGCCTCGTAACTAATCACAGGGATGAAGGAAGGTAGTCCCATAACTTAAAATATTTGTGCTACTTTCTCTCCTGTTATAGGGAAATTTTACAGATCTTAAAAAGCCTAAGTTTTCGTTCTGTTTTTATTTTACCAAGTCTGAAATATTTGATGTGTTCGAGGGTTGTTTTCATAGAACCGCAAACACTGACATCCCATTAGATGACTATTTTCCTAGAATCCTCAAATAGCAGCGGCAGAGTTGTTCTGTGGCTTGGTTGAAGCCAGATAACCCTGCACCTGGTAATTGGGTGAGCCTTTGGTCTTTGGAACAATGTGAGTGAGTGAGGAGGAGGATGAGGGAAGGGCAGATGGAAAAGAGAAATACGTGATCTGGTTCTGGCCATTTCTGATTATTTGGCCAGAGTTGTCTTTGAAAGGCCTCAGAGCGTGGCTGACTCCATACGCTCAGCTTTCCCAACTTCTTGTTTTATTTTCTTATCCTTAGATTTCGGTGTTGTACGAGGAGCAAGAAAAGCGACTCATCATCTCACACCCCACAGCATTGTTAGCCTGGCAGTCTGCTAGTGTTGGCATTTTGTCATAAGATGCTGATCAACAATCGAAGCCCAAGGTTCCTTTTACCAGTTGTCCACCTGCCCCTGTTCTTTTCTTGCTCATTTCATTATAACCCACACTAGCATTTTTCAGTGAGAGCTGGACTGAGGCCTATTTGCGTTTTTCTCCCTTAAGCTTCTTAGGAAAATGTACACAGTGCTTCACCACTGTGTTGTTTTGGTCATGTTTGTGATATATTTTTTTTTCTTTTTCTGAAGTGCTCCAAGGAACTACTTAATGAATTTTATAAGCTTGCGCACGTCTTTATTTTAATTTAGTGTGAAAGAAAACAGGAAAAAATGCAGGAAGAGTAATTTAATATCAACCTCAGTTCAAGATCCTGTTATTAAGTTTATCAGGTAACTCTGGACCTAGAACTGTGCCTCAAACTTCTGGAGTTGGAAAGCTTTAGGTAATACTAGTTTTTGCTTCTGATCTCTTATCATTATTACTTCCCAACCTTTGTCCCTTTCTCTCAAGGATTAATGAGGTAGGAAATTGAGATGAATATAGACAAAATGGTAGTATGACAGGAAGTATAAGTACGTAAGAGTACAGATGAATGTGTATTATGTACATCTATTCAAAAATTATGCAAATTAGTGATATACTCAGGGTCAACTAAATTACTTTCATATGTTGTTGGGTTTACTTTGTTCCTTGGCTAAATAAAATTCTTAACAGGAATTTGTGTTTTGTGAAGCCAAACTGATAAAATCTAAAGGATGTTGGGTTATGCATAAATTACTAAACTTCGATTTTTACTCCCAGAATCTGGTTTTCATTTTTAACGTACTATGCAGGATGATGTATTGGATAAAACCAACTTTGTAAATATGTAAATATAAATAAATAATATCTCGATTTATTTCCCAGAGGTATATAGTGATTTTTTTAAAACGTTAATTCATATTATACTAGAAGGACCCTTATTCCCTTTTTTGTCTAAAATGGCCACTGGGCACCAAGAATTCTTATGGAACAACTTCAAACACCATCTTTCAGGTGGGAACTATAACATTCAATATACCAGAGTTGCTAACTTCAAGGTGAGAGAACTCAGAATGTTTAATAAGAAGTTAAGGTCTCTGTTTGCAGGGAAACCTCTTGAGTGCTGACTTTAATTTACCCTTGACCTCCCCAGGTGTCCTCTTTAGGAAAATTAAAAAAGTTTATTTGTTAGTATATTTGCTATTCTGGGCCTATAATCCTCAGGATTAGAGATTTTTGTTTTGATTCAGCACAGGAGAGGGTACTTGACAAAAGGCAATGAAGTATTGACTGGGGGTTTTCTTGTTTGCCAAAAGACAACAATATTGTTTTCAATAGACTAGATAAACACCACTTGAGGCCCAGGAAATGCCCTCTTCAATTTTTACTTTGTTTCAGAATTAACTAGAGGAGAAAGGAAAAGTTTTGGAAAGACAAAATTGGCAAGGCTGATGAGATTTTTTAAATTTACAGATGAAGGAAATCTTTGAAATCATCCTTAAAATGAATGCATTTTAAGAATTTAAAGCAGTTAGAAAGGAACGAGGAGCTAACATTTATGTGATAAGTACTTTTGTTGGTTAGGCCTTAGAGTAGGAACTTAGGTTCATAGGTGAGGTAACTGAAACCTATTAAGCTACTTATCCAGTATTATCACAACTGAGTCACAGGTAGAAGTCCAACGGTTTATGACTTACTAAACCATTCTCTGCCAAAACATCCTAAATGTTTGCTTTAGGAAGTTACGGGTGCGTAATTCTATAAATGCTTGTTGAATTCAACTTAATTCAAATAATAGCATGAGGACTTGGCCCTAGTATACTTTTAATTTTACAGTATTATGTTTAAGGAAAACCGTTTTTACTCTGTATTATTTGTTTTAAGCTTGAAAGTGCTGTTTTGGGGTTTGCTGCTGTTTTAAATTTTCTCCCAAATTTGAGAAACCATAAACTAGATTGACCTTTGAGTATCATTTTTAGGATTAAAGCTAGAAATGTTCAAATTGTTAAACTAGGCTTCAAGCAAGGTATTGACCACACACATTTTGAAATACTTTTGTAACTATTCGGAGGCTGCTCCAGGGGACACACTTTGAGAACCACTGCTGTAATAAGATTCCTGATTCATTCTGCATATCCTAAGATATTTTACAGAGTGATGTTACCAAAATGGCAACATAGGTCATTCCTGACTTTGTTCTCCCTCACAAGAACTAAACTATTCGATGACAAGACACGACTGAGTGTCTGAGAACATGGGGGTGAGGCTGAGCACCCTCCTGCATCAGAGACCCAGACAGACCCAATTAGACAGGTAAATTGACCACATTGCCCCTCCCCCAAGCCAGCATAGCTCTATGCCAAGAGGTGCCCCTGAACCTGCAGCTCCCCCAGTGTGGGGGTCACTTTTGAGTCCTCACACCAGTCTCACTGCACAGAGATTACAGAGAAATCTATAGGGCTTAACCACTGGGAATCTGAATGTGACAGAGACGTGGGGAGAGCTTACAACAACCAACAACCAGCACACGGATCTCGGCCAATCTTGGCCTTCTGAGCCTACCTGCAGCCCCCAAGTAGTAACCCAAACCAGCGGTTTTGCTCATCTGCAGAACCAAGTTTGCGCAATCTGACCAGGGAACTTGGAGGGTGCAGGTGTACCTGAATTGGGTCCCCAAACAGAGCCTCACCAGCCCTGGAGCCTGGTCTGCTCCCACCCAGGCAGGGGAGCTGACTCACCCAATCTCACTGCTGAGTAGCTCCTGGCCCCATCGGAACAGGAAGTTGGCAGGAACACCTGGGCTGTGTCACCTGGCAATGCTGGAACAGAGAGTGTGGAATGCAGAGCTGATCACGCACAGAACAAAGCCAGTGCTGGGTGTGCAGGGTTATCCCCTCCACCAAGGAAGGGGAACTAATTCATAGCCTGGCCCACCTCCCACCAGAAAGCCTGACTAGGAAAATGGGAGGTTGCTTGCTGCTGGCTCTCCCCTTAGTGGAGCTGAGACTATCCCCGCCCACCACTAAGTGAAGATCCCAGCCATGAAAAGCCAAGTAGCCCATCAACACGAGCAGAGTCCAACAGGCAGAGCTAATAGTGCACAGGAAAAGCTGGAGTCGGTTGGCCAGGGAATCTGAGGTGTGGGTCAACTTGAGTCCAGACCATAAACAAAGAGCCTTACCAACTTTCGAGCTGGTTCTCCCACTGCCTGGACAGGGAATCTAATTTGTAATCACATTCGTTGTTGAATACAGCTTTCAACCCACTGAGCCAGGAACTTGACCACAGCACACAGGAAACTGTGAAGCCCATCCAACAGCGCTGCTTACAGAAGAATTTGAACAGAGAGCCTAGCTAGTGGCTTTCCCTATCTGCAGAGCAAAACTGGTGGCTTTGTCTGGCCAGGGAATTTAGTGCACACCCTTGCCTGATTCAAGTCCCCAGTCAACATGTGTGTGTCTTGGGCCCCGGTCACTGTCCCACCAGACGAGGGAAGCGAATTCATAGCCCCATCTACTGCTGAGTATAGTATCCAGTTCCGACTGCCTAGTAAGCCTGACCGGAGAACCCAGGCAACCTGTGGAGGCTATCCTACCACCTCGCTTGGGCAGAGAACCAATGCAATAGTCTTATCCAATAGTTCTCAGATGGTGGCATCTCCCCCATCACCCCTCACCCCCCAGCTCAAAACTCAAGCAGTGGGCTCACTCATAAATAGACCCTGAGTGCAAGCCCGACCACCCCAAGGACATTACCAGTAGACATACTCAGAAACCAAAATTGAGCTTACTGGTGAAGAGCTATCTCTCTGCCAAACCAAACCTATGATGTCTGGAAGAAATTACTCAAATGTGCAAATGTCAGCTTAAGGAACTAAGAATCATGAAAAATCAGGTACCATGACACCACCAAAGAAAACTAATAAAGCTTCAATAACTGACTCTAAAGAAATAGAGATCTATGAATTGTCAGACAAAAATTCAGAATAATATTCTTTTTTTTTTTAATTGGGGAATTGGGGGAGGGGCACAACACTGGGGAATCAGGCGAAGGGGAACAGACAAGATGCTGTCCTTTTGTTCTTCAGTCTAGTTGTGGTGGACGTCGCTTCACTGGCCCATGTTGGTATTATCATTGCGCTC